GGGCTGCTGGATTGACCTGATCTCATCTGGGGACAATGGCCCTCACGGCAGCAGAGATAGCGCCAGCGTGAGCGACGCTAAGCCCACGCGCCCTTCTTACTGCTCACAATGCAGCGCTGAGCTTAATTCCTCAAGATGAAGAAGATACGTGGCTGTCAGGCTGTAATTACAGCCGTGCGTGTGACATGGAGGCCCGGCTGCTTTCACGTTTGTGTTGTCCGGTGGGTTTTTGTGCTGCTCGGGCTCCTGCCTGCCTCGCTCCTGCTGGGAGCCCTGCCGGGGGACGTGGCAGGGATGGAGCGGACTCCCTCCGGCCAGGCTGCGGGCTCTGTGCAGGGGGGTGGGCGGTGGCTGGCTCCTGGTGATGGAGAGTCCCAAGGCAACTGGGGCTCTGGGGATGGAAAGGAGTTGGGGGGGCTGTGCTTGCCAGAGGGGAAGGGGGCTGCCAGCCAGGCCAGCCTAGGCACAAGCACCCCTTTCCAAACCCCCCCAACTCCTGTTGCTGACCCCATCCTTGGGTGGACGATGTTGGAGCAACCCAGGGGTGTGTGGGATGAGCTCGCAACCCCCGGCTCCCCCCAGAATGGCAAAGGTGGCCTCAGGTGATGCTGATCCGGCACAGTGCCCAGCAAACCTCCTGAGGGTTGTTAACCGTACGAGGACAGGCCCTGAGCACCTCCTCTGGTGGGACAGGCCAGGGTGAGGGTGCTTTGTGCAGGCAGCTGCAGGAGAGCTGCTGCAAGGGCGACGTGTGGGTCCCCAGTGAATACGGAGAACACAGACCCACGCCAAGCCCCAGAGCAGCCAGGCCTGGGCGAGTACAAAACGTGTCTGCACATGGGCTGTGCACCGGTCTGACCCTCTGCTTCTCTCTTCCAGGCGTACAGCTTTGCCATGGGGAGTTGGCCAAAGAATGGGCTCTTAGACATGAACAAAGGACTGAACCTACAGCACATAGGGAGGCCTCACAGCGGGATAGGTGAGTGATGCCGCCCCGTGCGCTTCCCGTCCCCATGGCCCCGGGTGCGCGGGACGTGCCTCGGCTCTGAGAGCTGGTCCAGGCTGGGGTGCTTGGGAGCCAGCCAAAGGGCTGCGGGGTCTCCGGCTGGTGGAAGGGATGAAGATGTGTCAGGGCAGAATGGGCACAAGGGATGAGCTGTTGGTCCCTGGCACATCCCAGTGTGACAAACACACCTGCTTGTCCCTCTGACCAGGGAGCTGTTCCCCTCCTCAGCCACTCTGGCAGTACTCAGGCTGGGGGTGGATGGGGCAGTGCCAGGGCTCACGCAGTGCCTGGAGCACAGGGCGAGGGTCCCCAGGCTGGGCAGGATGCTCTCCCTGTCGGGCCAGTCCTCCAGCTGCTCTGGATGCTGCGTTCATCCTTGGAAAGGAGGCTCTGCCAAGTGGTGCAGCCTCGGGAGCTGGCTGGAAACGTGCTGCAGAGTGAAGATGCGTGGCCCCAGCTGGAGAACTGAATCATCGTCCCGTTTGCCCACACATGTGATGAGTTTCATGGTCCCGCAGCCTCCTCCAAGATAAACAACTGAGACGACCATGAACGGTGGCAGAGCTCCATGTTTCCCCTAGCTGCTCCGCACCAGGGATCACAGTGATATGAGAAGGGAGAGCTGGCCCGGGACACTGAGGCCATATATCTGCCTGCTGGGCGCTGGGGGTGCAGAGCTGGAGCAGCAGCCGGCTGCAGTATGGGCAGGAGCTCAGATTTACTGGGCTGTAGGCAGGGCTGTAACTCAGGGCTGCATCGCTCTTGCCTTTCTTGTTTCTATGCGGGGCGTTGGATCACCTCTTGGAGACCAGCGGTCAGGTGTTCCCTCTGCCTCCCAGCCCTTCATCCATGGTGACTTCTGAGCATTAAAGTTTGCAAGGAGGTAAGATTTACTTGGAAAAGTCATCGGCTACCTGGGCCTTGAGGAGGCTGTTTAATATTGTTTCAAGACTCTAACCATTAAACTCTCCAATCAATCCAAGTTAAAGAGATGAATTATTTAAAGCTCACCAGCTTTTAATTAGCAAGCTCCTTTTGAACTATGGATCTGGTTGCATTATTGACAGAGGTAGCATTAAAATTTGCTTCCTTGCCTGGGAGCAGATTTGCCTTGCTTGTGTGCCATGTTGGGGTGATCGCAGGGAGGGAGCGGGGACTGCAGGAGTTGTGTGTGCATGTCCTGCTGTGGGGGCTTGGGCTTTTCCTAGGGTCTCCTGGGGGATGCAGGGTTGGTTTATGCCTCGTCTTTCCTCATTTTATTTATGGCAACAGCTCTCTGTTGCTGTCATCTCTTACTCTGACAAAGCGTCCCCAGCTCGGGAGTATCATCTGTCTGCCGTTGGTTTCTGCCCATGTTTATCTCAGTGCTGTCGTCTTGCACAGGTGTCTCTGTCTGATGGAGTCGAGAGAGATGCTGTTCATGTCCCTCCTCACTCCAGTCCTTTAGGAGGGTTTTGCTGCTTCATTTCTGACAAAATTCCTCTATGGGGGAAGGATTCCCGTCTCTCTCCAGTATGGGGTGAGCCACGGGCGGATTGCCCACAGAGAAGCAGCATGTCAAGGCCCAACAGCCAAGCTCCCTTCTTGCAGCACTCTGTCCCAGTGGCAAACCTGCCTTTCAGGCACTGTTGGGAAGGGGGTTTCTGTGGGTGCTGTGAAGGATGCCAGGCCAGCAGCGTGACGGTCTCCATCTCTCTGGCACTGCCAACGGTGCACACGTGCCCTGTGTGTTGCAGCCTGCTGGCTGCTCCATTTGGGCTGGGTCCAGAGCGGCTCTGCCCTGGGTGTCTGTGATCCTCCGCCTGCCTGCAGAGCCGGCAGCGCTGGCACCCTGTGCCTGGTGGTGTTACCGCAGGCTGAGCCTCCGGGAGCGAGCTGGAGGCACAGCTCAGGGCATGGCTTCGCATCCCAGGCACAGCTGCTCCTGCAGTGTCGGGGCTGCTGGCTTTGGGGCTTGGTAACCCAGCGTCCCTCCTGAGAGAAGGCTCAGGGCGATGTTGGTGTCTGGAGAGGTGCCTTGCCTGGCATTTTGTCAGGGCACCAGCCTCCTGGCCGCAGGGCCACTTCACTTCCCAGCCTGCTGGCTTTTCAGGTCCTAGTCATGGATCAAATGTTGGCTCCAGTGACAGCCCAAGAGGTCCCCAGGCCAAGGGCTGAGGAGGGGCTGCTCACTGCAGGGGCGGGCTGGGCTGGCTTCCTTGGGTCTGGCTTTGCTGCCTCATCCTGGAGCAAGTGTTGGTCCTGCACAGCTGAGTCCTTCCGTATCAGCTACTGGGACTGGGCACAGTCACCCTGTGACCTGAGTAGTCCTCATCCCTCTCCTTCATGCTCTCAACTGCTTTTGCTTCAGGGCTGGGAGGGGTTGCTCCTGGCACAGTCCTGCCCACTCAGCTGGATAAATGACCCCTTCCCAAGGACTGCTGCTGGAGAAGGGAGCGGAGAACAGCGAAGCACGCTGCCTGCCCACCTCTTGCTGCCCGTGGTGAGGCGGGAGCTCTGGGGCTGTGGCTCTGGGGATGCTCCTGTGCAGTCCAGAGCCTCCGTTCTCTTTTGTTCCAGAGTGCAGCAGGGTTGAGGGAAGCTGGGGAGCTGAGAGAGGGGTTCCCAGGGCTGCCCAAGGCAGATGGAAGTAGGGTCAGCCCCTGACTCTTACAGCCCTCGTGGGTTGCTGATGTCCTGCTGGTGTCCTGAAGCCTGCAAACCAAAGAGGGCTGAGGAGGGAGTAGCAAGGCAATGTGTTTGCCAGCTGCAGAGGTTTCACAAATACCATGCCGTGCAGGAGAGCCTCTGCATGGACCCTTTCCCGGCAGCGTGGGGAGCGGTCCAGGGGGGTGCATGTGAAGCCTCAGCTCGCTTATGCAAGGATGTGCAACACGGATGTTTCCCTTCAAATCTGACAGAAAAATTGCAGTGGATGGCCACTTGTTTTTGCAAACAATTTGGAAGGAATTTTGCTGTCTCGCCTGATCGGCTGTGTATTGCTCTGTTTTCAAATCACTCTCTGATTCACTGGCTCAGCAGATATCTGCTCCAAATCCCTGCACTTGGCGTGCTCTGGGACCAGTCCCGCTCCATGCTTCATCTGCTCTCCTTTGTCTTGTTCAAAATCCGGGGAGTTCAGGGTGCTCGACACCCTGCAGGGTCCAGGCTGGATTCTGGATGGGAACCTCACCTTTAGCAGCTGGGGTGTGTGGGCAGGAGGGGCTTGTGGTGGAACACAGTGGAGTCCCACCATGTCCCCTGGGACATACGGCTGCCCATACCGCAGGTTGCTGAACGGAGCTCACGTTCTGGCTTTTCTCTGGTTTCTACTCGCGAACAAGTGAGCTGCAAATCTTGTCGAGGGGTTAGAAAAGTGGTTTGTGTCACCAAATACACCAGGAGTATTTGCGTACACTGCTAAATACAGCTGCCTTGTAGTGGGATGGGTAGGGGTCTGCTGCAGTTGTTTCACAGGAGGGAAAAGGTAAAGGAAGGGGGAAATATCAGTATTTCAGCTGGCTGAGAAGTGCTGGGCAAAATAAGGAGGTTGGAAAATCCTTCTCCAGAGAGTGAGGGTGCAGAAAAACCTTGGGACATTGGAAAAGGAGCAAAAGGGGAAAAAAACCTGTTCTTTCATACCTTTTTCCAGATTGGTATTTCAGCTCTAACTATTCCCTCTGGGCTGCCTGTGGACCTGAGGACCAGAGAGGACTTTTTTTTCAGCTTCCATCTCTCCATGAGCATGGATTAAATGTGCGTCAGCTCTAGCGTAGGCTGTAGGATCTTGGAGTGAGGAACTTCTTTTTGCCTGGTGTTTTCTTGGCCCTCAGCAAAATGAGTCTTGCCAAGAACTTACTCATCTTACAGACGCGTGCACGTTGCAGTTCTTAAAACATGTTCGAGGAGCTGCTTGCCAAAATCAAGGGGCAGCGTGTAATGGGGGTCTCGGCACTCTCACACGAAGACCAGCATTCACAGGCTCCCCACCAGTGGAGCTGGGTTCTGGCATTGGGGTCTCTCTGCTGAGTTTCAGAGACTGATATAAATCAGAAGGATTAAAATCCCAGGCTGTACTTGTGATTTAAATCAGCCAGCAGATCACCTCAATTCAGTAATTGATTTTCTTCTATATTTGCCTTTTTTTTTTACCTGTTTCCTTGAAAAAAGGTCAAGTTCTACTGACCAGCACCTATCAAACCCAGTGCAGCTCTCCTTACCGCTGCCCAGTTGTTGCATCTGGTTATTCTTTTATTCATCAAGTGCCCTATATTTGCTACATTTATTTTGATCGATTATGTAGTATATATGCCTTTAGTCTTCGTTTTCAGATATTTGTTACATTAGAAAAATGATGAATTACTATTTGTTCTTAAAGAGGTCGTGATTAAATTATTACTCATTTGGGTTGTGACTTTTTTGGGTGAAAATTGGAATGCCCTGTTAAAGTATGCCAGCAGTAGTTTGAATTGGCTTTATTAGTAAAATCCTGTTTCCCTTGCATATGCTCAATACAGAACGAAAAGTAAATTTCAGAATACGTTTTAGTTAAAAACACCTGGTGCATGAAACCAAAGCAAGAGGTGATTGGTGAGTTGAAGGAGTGATTCTGGAAACCACCCTTTCCAGATTTTAGAATTAGCACGTCTCATCCTCTCCCACCTCAGTTTGTTGGTTGGTTTCTCACCCTGGTTTTGGAAAAGATAAAAGGCACACCACCTTTTTTCTTTTTTTTTTTCAGTCCTTTGTTGTTTCTCAGCTCTGAATGAGCCAGTTATTGAACTGAAAATCCACCGAAAAAAGTAAAAAGTTTCCAAATCTGGAGAAGGAGCTGCTGCTGATAAAGTTTGTTTCTCATTTGTCAGCTCTGCTTCTACCTCCAGTGCACTGACTGTCTTTAAAACATGATGTTCCCCCTTGCTACTGGCCTTTTTTTAATCTAATTGAATTTAATAGAATCTTTAATGTTTAGACTTCAGCACGCAGATTATTAGGATTTCAGATTTAGTTCTAAATGCCTGGGTTTGAGTTTGGGGGTTTTTTTTAGTTTTTTGAGGGAGGAAGGTAGCCAGGCTGCTGCGTGCGTCTCTTGCTAACGAACCTGCAGTGCCCAGCCCAGGAGATCTGGTCCCATAGTAGCTCCTGTCTTGACACGATGCCCTGTTTTATACCAGCTGCCGTAATCCCGTGAGCCTCCGCAGAAGGCTTCACGATCTTCCCTGTGCCTGCGGTCGCCCCGGCCGGGGCAGTGCCGTGCTCCCTCCCGGGGGATTTCTGCCGTGCCAAATGGAAAAGCCCTACCTGCCTGGGCAGGTCGGCAGCCCGCGCGGTGAGCGGCCCAGCAAGCCACCGTGCCTTCCCGGCTCCATCTCCCTCTTTTCATTTCCTGATTGGAAATCTCAGAAGGTTAGGGTGTGATATTGTTCCTGATCCAGAGCATTAATTAGGCCTCAGAAAGAAGAAGAGGAATTGCGTGTTTTTAACAGTGAGGTTAATGGGATGCTCGCAGAGTAGACAGTTTTAATGAGCTTCAACTCGATGTGCAGTGAGTTTACTCTTTGTGTTAAAAGGGTCACACTGGAGTAGTTTGATGTGGATTGTCTCCTGGCCCCCGGTGTCATAGGTGAGCGTCTGTCAGAGTCCAGTCAGAGCGCATTTACTTAGTGACACGATTCTAATTAACTACCGCGCGCTGCCACCGCCGCGGGGA